ACATCTCTAATAATGGTGGTACAAGGCAGGAAGACAGAAAGCATGGGGAAGGGAAAGGAAGCATACAGGCAGGTGATGTTAGAGGAGGGATAGGAAGGATGGAGAAGGGAAGGGAAACATATAGGTAGGTGATGTTGGAGGAGGGATAGGAAGGATGGAGGAGGAAAGGGACACATACAGGCAGGGGATGTTAGAGGAGGGATAGGAAGGATGGAGAAGGGAAGGGAAGGGAAGCATACAGGCAGGTGATGTTAGAGGAGGGATAGGAAGGACGGAGAAGGGGAGGGAAACATACAGGCAAGTGATGTAAAGGAAGGGAAGCATACAGGCAGGTGATGTTAGAGGAGGGATAGGAAGGATGGAGAAGGGAAGGGAAGCATATAGGAAGGTGATGTTGGAGGAGTGATAGAAAGGATGGAGAAGGGAAGGGAAACATATAGGTAGGTGATGTTAGAGGAGGGATAGGAAGGATGGAGAAGGGAAGGGAAATATGTAGGTGGGTAAAGTTTGAAGAAGGGAAACAGTATGGAAATAGAAAAAGATTGATGATGAAAGGGTAAGCTGATAGCTGACATATTATATACACCGGCACAAAACAACACATATACTTGTTACCAGCATTGTCAGTGAATGTAATGTAAGGATACATGACTCACTGTTTCTGTTGCCAGAATTTTTATATAAGATTTTCTGGAAGAATGCTATCACTAGAAACATTAAAACCTACGTTGGAAAAGTTTGTTTAATGCCACATCAATGCAATGATACAAGAAGCTGCACAGCATGTAATGTCCTCAGGAGTAAACTGCTATCTTATATTTCTCCCTAGGAAGCTGTGGTTTGAGGATTTTTTTAACTTTTTGTAGACTTTGTAAGATAAGTATCTGTCAAGCCTTTTAATGACCCAGACAATTATGGGCTTAGTTGCCTCCATTTTTGCTTGATTTCAGGAGGAGGTGCCACTGGTTTTGGTCTACTGCCAGTCAGAAAATAATGACACCAACATTAGCCATTAAATCTCCACAAAACTCAATTACAGAGCACGCCAGGATAAGTTAATTATTACTATAGATGTCCGTATGTTTGATTCTTATATACCACACTGATTCTAATAAACCCCACCTTTCCCTACATTCATAGTTTCATGGAGGGAAGGAGATCATTATATATCTGACAATTCCACTCTGACATTTGGAGTAAAAGCCAGGATGATCAGTGTGTAGAAAGTTGTTGGCTGTCTAACCAAGAGAGTGTTCCACAAGCTACTTCAGAAAGAAATTCCTCAAAGCTTGTATTTCTGTATACAGTACTATAGCAAGGTGTGTGTTACTCTGTACATCACAGTCAGGAACTGATGTGTCAGGAGTTTGACCCCCAGGTGCTGGGCATGTTTTCATATAGAGTCAGCAGTCCTAGCATTTCTCATAGTCTAGATGTATGCTACCATCAAACGTCTTATGTATCTCCATGCAAAGGAGTACAACTCTAATAAACCTAAAAATACCTTTATTTACTACTATTTTAACCCTTTCACCCCTAGGTAACTTTAGTAGACTCTACCATACATTGATCTGGATGAGTCCATTATGGTATACAGTGGTGAAAGGGTTCATGTATTCATTGATAATATATATAAAAAAACATACACAGGAATTTATGCTTTGATAACACATGATTTAAATAATTCGATATTATGGCTAGATGTAAGGGAGATAATCACAAATATAATGGATAAGGTATCATATAGCCTTAAGTTCAACCAGATATTTGTTGGCAATAATAAATATTTCCCTTACTTTCCATTTTGAAAATTAAAAACCCTATTTTTCAAAATTAAAAAATGTTCTCTCTTACCATTAAATAATTTAGGTTAGTTTTTGCTGTTGGTGTCAAATCTACAATATATGTTTCAATCAATGTGAAGTGATATTTGTTGAAAGGTAAAAGACTTGTGAAATCGGTAAGAATTGTCTCCCCTTTTTCATGTTTTTGAGAACATGTATCCAAGCATATTGCTTCCAGTTTCAATAACTGTTGGTGTATCATGTTCCTTTTGACCTGACCCATACATATTTTATCACAATTAAAGCCTCAGATAAACTGAACATCCTGTAACTATTTTGCTATCATCACAAAGCTCGTTTTTTCCCCAAAATGTTTTCAACTCATCAAACATTGCCAGAAAGTAGTTATCATCATTGTATATAATTGTCCATCAAGAACGGTGAGAAAAAACTCAACAACTGGTGACAAATGGTGTATTTCCATGGTTACTAGTGTTGTATCATACAGGGGATGTTTCTTTGGTTACTCTGCGAACAAATGAAATTGTTACTTTCTTTCTATTTTTTAGTGGGTTATTACTCATCATGATATCCTTTCCTTATCTTACAGATGCCAACGTTTATGTACTTTTTTGTACACTCTCGCACAGACAACAAAAACAGCAAATCTATTGAAAACGAGAGATGTGTAAATATCTTACCGTTTGGCAGAGTAAAGGGAAACAACTCCCTCTAGAAACTCTTAAATCACATTTGACTGCTAGTTACACTTTCATGTCCTTTTGTTGATTTCTCATAGATTGAGTGCACTATCTCCAGGTGACCTAATGCATAGACTGAGTGTAATATATCTAGGTGACCTAATGCATAGATTGAGTGTAATATCTCTAGGTTACCTAATGCATAGATTGAGTGTAATATCTCTAGGTGACCTAATGGAAAGACCGAGTGTAATATCTTTAGGTGACCTAATGCATAGACCGAGTGTAATAGATCTATGTGACCTAATGCATAGACTGAGTGTAATATCCCTAGTTGACCTTATGCATAGACTGAGTGTAATATCTCTAGGTGACCTAATGGATAGATTGAGTGTTATATCTATATCTCTTGGTGACCTTATGCATATATTGAGTGTAATATCTCTATGTGACCTAATGCATAGACTGAGTATAATATCTCTAGGTGACCTAATGCATAGACTGATTGTAATATCTCTAGGTGACCTAATGCATAGATTGAGTGTTATATCTATATCTCTTGGTGACCTAATGCATATATTGAGTGTAATATCTCTATGTGACCTAATGCATAGACCGAGTGTAATATCTCTAGGTGACCTAGTGCAAAGATTGAGTGTAATACCTCTAGGTGACCTCATTCATAGACCGAGTGTAATATCTCTAGGTGACCTAATGCATAGATTGAGTGTAATATCTCTATGTGACCTAATGCATATATTGAGTGTAATATCTCTAGGTGACCTAATGCATAGATTGAGTGTTATATCTCTAGGTGATCTAATACATAGATTGAGTGTAATATCTCTAGGTGACCTAATACATAGATTGAGTGTAATATCTCTGGGTGACCTAATTCATAGATTGAGTGTTATATCTCTAGGTGACCTAATGCATAGATTGAGTGTAATATCTCTAGGTGACCTAATGTATAGACTGAGTATAATATCTCTAGGTGACCTAATACATAGATTGAGTGTTATATCTCTAGGTGACCTAATGCATAGATTGAGTGTTATATCTCGAGGTGACCTAATGCATAGACTGAGTGTAATATCTCTAGGTGACCTCATGCATAGACTGAGTGTAATATCTCTAGGTGACCTCATGCATAGACTGAGTGTAATATCTCTAGGTGACCTAATCTATAGATTGAGTGTAATATCTCTAGGTGACCTCATGCATAGACTGAGTGTAATATCTCTAGGTGACCTAATCCATAGATTGAGTGTAATATCTCTAGGTGACCTAATACATAGATTGAGTGTTATATCTCCAGGTGACCTAATGCATAGATTGAGTGTTATATCTCGAGGTGACCTAATGCATAGACTGAGTGTAATATCTCTAGGTGACCTAATAGATAGATCGAGTGTTATATCTATATCTCTTGGTGACCTTATGCATAGATTGAGTGTAATATCTCTAGGTGACCTAATGCAAAGATTGAGTGTAATATCTCTAGGTGACCTCATGCATAGACCGAGTGTAATATCTCTAGGTGACCTAATGCATAGACTGAGTGTTATATCTCTGGGTGACCTAATGCATAGATTGAGTGTTATATCTCTAGGTGACCTAATGCATAGACTAAGTGTAATATCTCTATGTGACCTAATGTATAGACTGAGTGTAATATCTCTAGGTGACCTAATGCATAGACTGAGTGTAATATCTCTAGGTGACCTAAAGCATGTGAATATAACAAGGTTCTTAGTGAGGTTCTTGATATAGGTTCTTAGTATAGTCAGGTTATTAGATGGTACACTTAGATAGCTGTTCCCAAATTTTAAAAAAGTTTACAAAATTTCGTCAAATAATACACAGTTTTGTGACATCATCAACACCAAATATATTGAGCTGACCGAGGTTTATGCAAATTACAGGCTGTTTATAGTTTTATTGAACTGATCACATGTTATTGTATTCAGAAAATGAAACTTGTATCCCCTGATCGGGCTAATGTATAAAATAGTTATGAACCCTTCACAGAAAATACTGTAGATATAAAAAAAAAACAGTTTTGAATTTTGGTCAGATGGAGTTATCACCTTATAACCTTACTAAAAAGAAAGCCAGGGGACCATGATAATTAACATGTAACACTGCAGTTGAAGACAAAGCAACATAGCGACATACTTCACCATTTCATAGGAATATATATGTTGACATGTAAAGGAATGCTGGGACATTGAATTTAAAACTTTTAATATTTTTAGTGAGATTTAACAGTCGTGAGATCAGGATACCTGTTCTTAGCTATTATTTCAGGGTTTTTTTTTAGACAGAAAAGGTCCGAAATAGATCATCCCCGTTGGATAGTCACCCTTACCCAGTGACATTCATGTGTACTATGTAGTTAAGTTAGAGAATTTTATTGTATGGCACAAACAATTATCATTTTATGATACAATTATTTGAAGGGTAATATTTTCTTTCCATCCCTGCTGAACAAAATGTCTTTTTGTCATTTCAGCTCCGGTACAAGTCAAATCATATCACCATGGCAGTTTGGAGGATATAAAGGGAGGTTACTCCAGTGAGCCAGACACTATAGTTTGGAGGTCAAATAATTCAAACTACTCCGCAATACAATCTAGGACTTTACCCCAAAAGCCGCCATCTTCAGGTCGAAGACAGGAACAACATCCCAAAAATGCACCCCGCAAACATCCGCGTAGACACACTGTAGGTGGTGCTACCCTAATGCAGGAAGGTCCTGAAGAAAGTGCAGAGGTAAGTCATCCATATTTCTTGTCATTTCCTACAGATGGTACGGTGTTGATGATACAATTAGTGATACTTAAAGAAAACAGTGGTTAGAAATGAAGGGATTAGATGTGGGTTTTGTAGACTGATCTTTGTTTTAAATGCATTCTTGTTCATTTTGATCTTTAATGGAAATGTCAATCAAAATTAAATGAAAAGTATTTAAAAATTCATGAAAGTTTGCCTGCTAATAAAACTAAAGTACATTAAACTTTGTGATATTTATTCTAATTGTATGAATTGACATTGTACTGTCTGGAAGCATTATTTAGCTGTTTGGTCTGCATGTTGTACTGTGGTAAGTGGTGTTGTTATGGATGAATAGTCAGACAAAATGATACAGATTTGCTGTAAATGTGTTTGCTTCCAGGAATTTTCTATTTAAGACGAAGAAAATCAACAGACAGCCATCATGATCTGTGCAATTTGTCTCTCGTACTTCTTTATTGAATTTGCAGTTTAGAAATAGAATAGAATAATAAAACCTAACTTTGGTCTTATTGCAAGAAAACTCATTGTTTGATTCAATCAACATATGAGTGGAAATCTAGTGCATCTTGTTTGTATAAACACAGATACTTTAAACAGAAATTTAAAAGAATTTGAATTTTCCAGAAATCAGTGTTTGTTATCAGGTTAATTTTCAATGGGTTGATCAGACAAAATTCAAAAATTTGTATGTGTCTGTACAGCCAATGAAAATGTGGAATTTTCAATGTTAACACTGAAAATTGTCACATGGAATGTTTTTCCTTGGGAAAAATCATGTGCTGAGGTTTTTATAGGATGGTCCCATTTACGTGTTTTAGAAACACACCAAAAAATCTTCCTAATTCTTCACGACTACAATTCTGAAAATCTGATTCCAAAATAGTTTATTTTCTTTCCAAATTGATATTCACAAAGCTTCTGGAAACTGCCCTTGATAAGAAATGAACTTGCTGTTGTAGTATTGGGGTAACATTTCTCAAAACAGATACAAGGGAAGCAACTCCCACATTGAAGGAAGTCATTGAGAAACGATCATTTCTGATTGTATGTGTTGCCTTTAGGAATGTTTATTGAAGGAACAGTTGGCTATCAAACACTCTGTAAACTTTGATGTGGAGGGGTTAGGTGATGTCTGTGGCTGTGAAAGTGTTTTATAAAGTGTGTTTACTTTGATAACAATCATATGACAGATTATGCAACGCTGCTGGCATACAAATCTGTTTTCCTCTATCTTAGTGACGGTACTGGATCACTACTGCTGGCTTTTACTATCTCGTGGGGGAATTGAAGAACCATTAACTTTGATTGATTGTTTTCCCTTATGTTTTTCTGTTTTTTTTTTTTTTCAATGGATTGCATTTGGTGGTTTGGTTAGAAGTTTGAAGTAATTTTTGTTCTTCCGAAGGAGAAGTGTTTATAGAGATTCACGATGCTGTTTTTGTACTAGACAAAATGCTTATCTTTTGAAGTTTTGTATTTAGATGAAAAATATTTTAGCTGTTTCATTTTAAAGAAAATTTGTTACTGTGAGGTATATATATCCTATTACAAAGCAGAAATTGTGATAGAAACAGGATCATGGACCTAGAATATTGTTTACGCCCCCATGGCCCACTCACTCCTAAGTCACTTTCATTATTACATCATACAATAAACAATCTTGTATAACAACAGAACTATTTCTTTTGGGCAATGATAATTCTTTGACCTTGGAACATTTTTTTCACAAAATTTGACTTTCAAACTTGTATGACGTATATTTCTTGATGAATCGTCTTGGCTACCTGATGGTCGGAGATGATTAATGGATCTATACGACAAGTGATGTAATCGTCAAGAAGTGCTTACCTGTAATTACTACAGGTATATATTGTTAACAGAGCTGACATGATAATTACAGGTGTGCTACGTACTTGACAGTGACTCACAGCGAGAGTTCGGCTACCTGTTGGTTAGGGAAATTTATTTCTNGCGGCAAAATCAAAATTTAATAATGGTTTATAATGGCAATGATACTTTGAATATTACATTGTTAATAACTTGATTGGAATTATAACCCTGAGTTGACAGTTTGAAACTTTGAAAATTTTGAGCCAGACCTATCCCCAAGGGCTGTAGGGTGCGGCCCAAAGGAGTTAGTGTGCTAAAATGTCTTCATTTTCCTTGTTTAGAATCAGAGGTGCTATAAGTTTCAAATACTTTTTAGTCTTAAATCTGTATGCTAGATATTGAATAAGGTGGTTTTATTGTTTTTTTGTCACTTTGAATAATATTTCTGTTCGTGTTAAAAACAAAATCAACTCTCTGTATAAATATATCAGGTGACCGTTAAGGCCCATGGGCCTCTTGTTTTTTAACCTATATATAGTCGAGCTGGAGATTTCACAAGTCTCAGACTAGCGGCCTACCCTTATTGCCTAGCCCTATAGCCCCATAGGTATTCAACATTATAAAGACACACCTGTGATTATACAAAATTTTGTTATAGATACAGTATGCCAATAATGATTACAACAGCTTTCTAGGATTCATCCATGATGCTAGAGGTCAAAAAGGTGGAAATATTATATGACTTTTGCTGAAATTAGAAGGAACAGGAATTTATAGTTCAGTATTTCAGAATATGGGAACATTGATTGTGCTGCAGTTTTGATCACAAATGGAAAGTTCTTTTTGACGAGGATGAGTTTGAGGAAAATGTGACTGTAGAACTATTAGTCATATCTGGTGTAAACATTCAACATATATGTCAAACTGCTTCTGATTGACTGGTGTAAACATTCAACATATATGTCAAACTGCTTCTGATTGACTGGTGTACACAACATATATGTCAAACTGCTTTTGATTGACTGGTGTACACAACATATATGTCAAACTGCTTCTGATTGACTGGTGTAAACATTCAACATATATGTCAAACTGCAATCTGATTGACTGGTGTAAACATTCAACATATATGTCAAACTGCAATCTGATTGAC